AACAAGGTTGCCACACGATGGCTGCTCGTGTAGGCCACTAACAGAGGAACCAAGAGGGAACAAAGACGGCTGGCCCATAAATAGCGAGACTGCGAACGGAAGGGCACTCTGCTTCTGAGGACACGACTTTCTGCTGTTAGTGACACGAGACTGCTGCCGAGACACCGACGACAGAAGACTGCTGCTGACGGACACAGAAAAAGCTGCCGGACACATACAAGACAGACTTGATATACTGGCAGAAACTGTGACAGTAAAGTGTTATCTGCTATCCTGGCTGCCTTTTCTTCCTAACATGCAACCGGGGGATAAAACCAGTGTCGACGCAGGCGCACCCAAGGTTAAAATAAACTGTGAACTAGTACACAGCTGTGCAATTTTTATTTCTTCCTCGAACATAGTGTTGCTTGCTAAAATAACATAATCCCTAATCCCTCTCTGGCACCGCACTGCAGAAAATAAAGGAAAATCGGTAGGAGTACCTCGTGGGGCCGCCTGGGGGAGTGCTAAGCGGGCCCCTCGGTCTTACGGGCTCCTGATTTTAGGGGAGAGGACGGGCGGGGCACATCAGGGGACAAATTAGTTCGCAAAATTGCTGTAAAATAAGAAAGTTACGAGGGTAAGTTGGGTCGCGTAATAGAACCTCGGGCGGGGACACTGAAGTACGCATTAATACCATCGCTAACCCCCCACCGGACCAACGCGTGTATGGGGGGTGTGCCCTGACCTCGGGCGAGGTCATTGAGGTACATTTTCTAATAGTACCACTAACCCCAACCAGAATAAAGGCGAACGAGTGACGGAAGTTGAAGATTTTGGAAATTGACCCTACTTAAAATTTGTAAGTAGACTATTATTCCCGAAAAACCATTTTTGCTTAGTATACGGACTTAAGCGGCTATTGTATGCGGCGGCCTTCCGAGACCAGAGAGCGAAAGGAATTTATCAGCATGTCCACTCTAAGGGAAATTGATTATTCAGTGATTGTAAAATCGTGATATGCAGGAGAGAAGGCAACTGCGCCTGTGACAGTTAACTGCACCTACTTATTTCAGGACAAGCTGTTCGAACGTCGGTTGCCACAAGAAACACTGCGTGCTTCAGCGGGCTGAACGCAGACAAAGCGACTTACGCGTGGATTAGTTTTAAGTGGCAGCAGACTTGCATTGCATATACCATACTCTTTCCCTCCACCTTCAGGAGAACAACAAATCACAACACCTTATTCGCTAGGATCGTTGAAGTTTAAGGAGCGACCGCAACTCAGATCGGGAAAAGTTGGGGAGG